CCACGGCCCAGCAACCCAACCCGGCACCCAACAACCACCCCATGCAAACCCGCTCCAAAGCCGGCATTTTCTGCCCTAAACAAATCCTTAATCTCAACACTTCTGTCCCCATCTCCCCCTTACCCCCAACCTACCGTAGTGCACTAAAAGATCCAAACTGGCACGCTGCTATGTGTGATGAATTTAATGCCTTGATTAAGAATGATACATGGGAATTAGTGCCCCTTCCCCCTCCCAAAACCTTATCACCGGTAAATGGATTTTCCGACACAAATTTGGCCCCTCAGGTGAGTTATCCCGGTACAAGGCCCGTTGGGTGGTTCGTGGTTTCAACCAACGTTTTGGCGTTGATTATGACGAGACCTTCAGCCCCGTTGTCAAGCCTGCCACTGTTCGTATCATCCTCAGCCTTGCTCTGTCTCGTGGATGGCCCATTCACCAACTTGATGTCAAAAATGCGTTTCTTCATGGCCAACTACAGGAGACCGTTTATGCCTGCCAGCCTTCTGGGTTTCAGGATCCCAGTCGCCCTCATTATGTATGCAAACTCAAGAAGGCCCTTTATGGTCTTAAGCAAGCACCACGCTCTTGGTTCCACAGATTTGCAAGTTTCATACAGACCATCGGCTTCCGAGGATGCAAGGCCGACACTTCCCTATTCATTTTCTCACAGCCCGTGGGAACGGCCTATCTGCTCTTGTATGTCAATGACATCGTACACATGGCATCCTCCCCGGCACTGCTTCAGAGTCTCATTCAGCAGCTTAAGGCCGAATTCTCCATGACAGACATGGGTGATCTACACTTCTTTCTTGGGATCAATGTCCAGCGCACAGCCACCGGCCTCTTCCTCCACCAGACTCAGTTCATTCATGATATTCTCGAGCGGGCAGGGATGGTCTCTTTCCGCCCCATCTCTACCCCGGTGGATACGAAGGCAAAACTATCTAGCACAGCCGGCTTAGCGCTACCCGATCTGTCCTTTTACAGGTCCATTGTCGGTGCACTGCAGTATCTCACCTTCACTCGTCCTGATATCACATATGCAGTTCAGCAGCTCTGCCTACACCTCCATGCACCACGCGATGCACATCTTACTGCCATGAAGCGAGTTCTTCGTTATCTCAGTGGCACTGCCACTCACGGGATCCATCTGACACGATCCGCCACCGATTATTTACAGGCTTACTCCGATGCTGATTGGGATGGCTGCCCTGACACCAGACGCTCCACATCAGGTTATTGTGTTTTTCTGGGCGACAACCTCGTTTCCTGGTCTTCCAAACGCCAGGCCACCACCTCTCGTTCTAGTGCCGAGGTAGAATATCGGGCCGTTGCCAATGCAGTTGCAGAGACCTGCTGGATCCGGAATCTACTTCTTGAGCTGCAACACCCACTTCGTCGCGCCTCACTCGTCTTCTGTGACAACGTTAGTGCTGTCTACCTATCATCAAATCCGGTGCAACATCAACGCACCAAGCACGTCGAGGTTGATATACACTTTGTACGCGATAAAGTGGCCCTTGGGCAGATCAAAGTCCTTCATGTTCCTTCATCCTCTCAATTCGCCGACATCTTCACAAAAGGACTGCCCTCTCTTTTATTTCTGGACTTCAGAGAAAGCCTGGGTATCCGACCCCCAGCACATCCGACGTAGCCGGGAGCATGTTAAATACATTAAATATATTTAATATTATTGTATTATGATTTGTTTCCATACTTGTATAGCTTTCCTAGAATACCTCTCCTACCATAACTAGGATTGAGATGTTGTATATATATACATGTACTCCTCACATAATTAATCCAAGGAAAATACAATTCTTCAAGCGTTTTAACCAAGTCGACCATAGAATCCTTGATTGAAAACTGAATTTAATTACCAAAACTTCAGTTTTGGTTTTGATTATCAAGTGTAAAATAATATTGATTTTATGTTTTGGCAGTCAATTTTTTGTTTTTGATAGGGTAAAGCTCAAGGCCTGCCCAAGGGTGGCTAGGCTAAGGTATAGACCCATTTTTTTCAGGAGTCGAACATTTTTATTTTTTCAATATATGCGGAGTATATTATAATCTTGTCAAAGTTTAAAAATATTTGAAACTAAATCTTCTAAGGTAGCTATTACGATATATAATTATAATACTATAATTTTGTTATGTATATTACTATAATATTAATTATTTTTTTAAAGAAAATAATTTATACTCCGTATAATTTAATTTATTAGGATCAATCCCATTTTTTCCGTCTCGTACAAGGCCCTCGAACCTTCGTAGTCGACCCTGGTAAAACTGAACTGATCAAAAAATGGTATTTATAGTATATACTTAAGAATATACAAATGAAAATAGAATTCGTTGTTTTTATTAGACCCCGTTTGGTATACGGAATTTAAACTATGGAATTAAAATTGAGGACATCAATTCCAATTCTGATGTTTGGTAACACAAAAATTATGTGGATTTGGAATTGATAGTGCAAAAAATGAATTGGAATTGGCAGAATTCAATTTTGTTGAATTGAATTATGGAATTTTAATTCCAATTCAATTACAATTCCGCCAATTCCGTATACCAAATGGACCCTTAGAGTACTTTTAAATTGACCCTTCTTGTAAACTCATATGGAGTATTGGAAAAAATTTATACTCCGTAATATAAAGAAAAATTTTAAACAATTACTCGAGCAGATCTACTGCTCCGTATGTTACATCAATACTTTCAAATTTAATAAATGACACCGTTACTTTATCAACTTATACCGAGTATATTTTTATGATAATACTTCATCTACCACCTCTCACTTGTTTACTCATTTGTCACATGAATTCTTCACTCACTTAACATGAAAAATAAGAATTCACTCATTAAGTGTACTCACTTCTTCACTCACTTAACATACGTAGTATCCAATTCCACTGTATTGATTACATTATTATTATTTACGGAGTAATATTTAACTAAATCTAATTAAATTCTATTCTATCTTTAATAATAAAAATAGAATTACTCCCTCCGTTCGGGAAAAATCTTCCCAGTTGGACTTTTTCTCATTTTTTTGAATGGTTGACTTATGGGGTGAAATGGCTAACATGCCCTTACTAAAAAAACTGCTAAAGGAAAGAAGAAGTTGGCCGAATGGAAGGGATTCATTAATTAAATACACTGTTTACATTATGGGGGAAGGGATATGGGTTCCAATACATCAAATCAACTTTTACAAAGTAATCATTCCACAAAAATTTCAGATTTCCCTCATCCTTTTTTAGCTACCCGCCCAAAAAATTAAGAACAAGGACATTCAAATTGAAAATCAGCAGCATTTAAAGCCTCCCAGGTCTTTCCCTTTTTGGCATGCCCTTTATTCACCTTTCCTCTTCTTCATTTTCCTTTCTTTCTTCTTTTTTCTTTTCTTGTCCACATTTCCTGGAGTCCTGCACACACAATGAATAATGCTCATATAAATACGAAGAAATTGGATAACACAACACGGCAACTTATCAGTGACGCCCTACTAACACATTCAAAGCAGAAATCAGACTGTTCATACTCAGCTCAGAGAGGGCAGATCAAGCAACTAGCTGCACAGTTTAATGTTTCTAGAAAAACAGTGTGTACAATATGGACCATTGCAAGGAAACAACTAGAGCGGGGGGTTGCCATCAATGTGAGTAGCAGGATGATAGGAAACAGTGGCAGGAAAAGGGTGGCGATGGATGTACAAGCAATTGCAGACACTCCCCTGCGGAACAGGACTACTATAAGGAGTTTAGCAGCTGCTATTGGTAAGCCGAAGTCCAGTGTTCATGAGTGGATAAAAAAAGGTATGCTTAGAAGCCATTCTAATGCTATCAAACCTTACCTAACAGATGATAACAAACTGTCAAGGTTGAGGTTCTGTTTGAATCAAGTTGATCCACACAGTATTCCCCTTCAACCTAGGTTTAACAGTTTTCACAATGTCTTGCACATCGATGAGAAGTGGTTCTTTATGTCCAAAACGTCACAAAGGTTTTACCTACTTCCCGATGAAGTAGACCCATACAGAACATGCAAATCGAAGCGGTTCATAACAAAAGTCATGTTCATGTGTGTGGTTGGAAGACCACTAATTACTGATAATGGAGAAGTATTATGGGATGGCAAAGTTGGCATATTCCATTTCAGTGAATTAGTGAGAGCAAAAAAAAAGAGTAAGAACAAGGATAAAGGAGTTGTGGAGGTGAAACCAATCACCAGTGTTACCAAACAAGTTACAAAAGACATGCTAATCAACAAGGTGATTCCAGCTATCCAAGAAAAGTGGCCTGCACAATTATCTAAAGACATACACATTCAACAAGATAATGCAAGGCCACACATTCAAGGACTAGACTCAGACTGTGTTGCTGCAGGTAACAGTAATGGTTTTCACATCAGTCTAGGCAACCAACCCCCAACTCCCCAGATTTAAATGTACTGGACCTTGTTTTTTTCAGAGCCATCCAGTCTTTAAAAGAGAAGTGTGCTCCAACCAGTGTGGGACAGTTGTTAGAGGCTGTGGAGGGAGCCTACAATGCTCTAACTCCAAAAACTCTAAATAAGGTATGGTTGACTTACCAGCAAGTATTGACTAAAGTAATGGAGCATGAAGGAGGCAATAACTATAGATTGCCACATATGGGTAGGGACAGAATGGCCAGGGTAGGGACACTACCTACTTGCTTGAACATTGATCCTGTTTTAATTGAGAAGACAAGTAGACTGCTGGGTGAACAGAATGAAAGTACACATGAAAAAATGGTTCAGTTCAATACTGAAGAAGGAGAGGAGCACCTATCTTCAGAACTGAACTGATTCCAGGTTTGTTTAAGTGCAGTGGCAGTACATGTGGGGGTTTTGAAATGGTTACCACATTCAGTTTTTTGGCTTTTGACTGTTGTTAGTGGTAGTTTGTTGGATTTTGGTTTTTGAATTTTGGGTTTTGCACCATGTAATGTCCTGCCATATCTATGTACTCACATTAAGGCAACAACACACTACTTGCTCTAAATGTTCCAATGCTCAATGAAATACAACAGCCAACATATATTTCTCAAAACTAAGCCCACTTCATCATTGCTAATGTATGAATTTAACCACTCAGAAACATCCCTTAAGGGTTTAATGCTCATCATAGTAGGGTTTTTTTTCTTAGACAGTGCAAAAGACATTGCAGTCTTCACAGAATTTGGCCACATTCACATAGCCCAATGCCATTATTACTAAAAGCATAGATGTGTAACAACAATATACACTCAGAAACATCCCCTTAAGGTTAAATGTTCATCACAGTGTCTCATTATTCTCAGACTATGCAAAATAAATTGCAGTCTTCATAGAAATCTGATCCAACACAATTCATACAGGCAGCATTCCCAAAACAGTAACATACAGAGCAGATAAGAAATTTCAATTATCACAGCAATGTATCAACAAAGTTCACACTGGGAGGAATTAAATTCATACTCAAGCCAAGAAATATGTAAAGTGAAAGGAGGTGAAAGTCACTCCCCTACTTGTACGTTGAAGCCCAAAAGTTTGGATCTGGAGTAGGTAGTAAGATGTTAAGCATATCTATGTGGAGGTGCATGTGTGAGCAGATCACCGGAGAAGTATCACCGGAATCAGCACTATCACTGTCTCCCAGGAACTCAACCTCATCGCTACCAAGATCAAAAACATCATCTTCATCCGAGGTAAGGTCGATTACCTCCATCTCTCTGACCGGGGCAACATCGGAACCATCGTCATCGCTATCGATGACGATGACCTCGTTCTCCTCCTTGGCGTTAGGTCGATTACCGAGGTAAGGTCGATTACCTCCATGCGATTCCTCAAATGAGGTAGATGAAGAGGTCATGCGGATGAAAGAGATGTAGATCTAGAGAGAGAAATGGTTTTCGAAGAGATGAAGAAGATAAGATCTAGAAGATCAGAGATGAGTGAATGAGTGTAGTTGGAGAGAGAGAGAGAGAGAGAGAGAGAGTAATGCGTGCAGGTATGGGAAAGTGGGATTGGTAGAGGGAGTAAATGAGAAGGATATTTTTGGAAGGATTGTGGGTAAAATTAGAAATGAGAAGATTATTTCCGGACGGGGAAAAAGGAGAAACGAGAAGATTATTTCCAGATGGAGGGAATACTTTTTTTCTTTTATATATAAATTTCTTATATTTTTTGTATCTTTGTAATTCCTATTTTCCTTTTTAATTGTTCCCCTTAATTATTCAGTTTCTCAGTCTTGTTTCACTTTTTTCTATTTTGTTTTTATATTATAACAATAAAAGAATACATTGATTTTAAAAAAGGACACGGTAGCATTACTTCAAAAAATACATGATCGCATAAAAAATAAAACACCCAAAAAAACTAAATTAGTCTTCACTCTCATATTATTGTCTTCTTATTTTTTCATTGTTCTTCTCGATCAAAGCACGATCACACTCTGACACGTGTTCCGTGCTCATGTTAAGAAACATCATCTCGATGACCATTTGGCGATTCTTTTTTAATTGTGGTGGACGCCTTCTTCATCTCCAAAAAGTTGCTCATTTTATCGCCCAATGATGAGTACAATGCTGTCTTGTGACCTCCACCGTCAATGGATGCCGAATATGCAACTTTTCCTTTTCCTCTCTCCTTTGCCCATTGGTCTTGGCGGCTCGTCCTCAAAGAGCTCATTATCATCTTCCGGCCCTTGATTATTAGAAAAAGGATCGGTTTAGGATGAAGTTTTTGAGAGTTTTGATGGTCTAAACGCATTGGTTTCATGCCACCTTGGACATCTCCTCATAACCCGCCATGCCGCCCCATTCAAAAACCCATATCCCATCTCCCTCTTGAAATCAACTGATGCAGCATTGTACACATCGTCTCCGCTCGAACCGCTTTTTCTATTGTTGGAATGGTGGTTGAAGAATCCAAGGAACTTGACAACCTTTTTTTAGGTCGCACCATTTACTAGTTAACATGTCAACGGCACGATAATTATCTTTCAATATAGTCTCATGAAATTGTTTACAGACACGCTCCAACTCCGTTAACGATGTCATAAAAAACGGGAGACTGGTCAAGAACATTTATACCATTACTTGATCCGACAACTCCAAAGAACGCATGCCATATCCAAAGATCATGTGACGCTACTGCTTCAAGCATCAACATCAGATGAGTGTGGTCACCCCATTGATATTGACCGCGCCAAGCCGTGGGACAATTCACCCACTCCCGGTGCATAGAGTCAATGCTACCAAGTATTCCTGGAAATTCACGCAGTTCTTCATGAACATCGTATATTTTTTGAATGTCATTCCATGATGGTTTTCGTAAATACTTTCTGCCGTCGTATAATGCCATTACACCTTTAAAATAATGTAAATTAATAAAATAAACAATAATAATTTAACGAATATGAAAAAACATTAAATTATAGTAAGACAAATAAGAACAAATACCTTTGTAAAATTCCTAAAGTGTATCTCGACTTGTTTTTCCAGATATTTTCAAATACTCATCCGAATTATCAGAATTTGTACCATAAGCCAGTTGACGAATTACAGATGTACACTTATGCAAATACGTAGATCCAAGTCTACCTCTAGCATCACAATGATGTTGGAAATAATGAAATCCAGACTGCAAGTTATCGGCTATTCTACAGAATAAACGTCGGCTCATCCGAAAATGGCAAGTGAATAGCGACTCATCGTATGTTGGCTCGACACAAAATGATCTTCCATGAGCCGCTCGTTCGCAGTCGCACGATCTCGATTGACCTGGATTCGTCTTTTAACGTCTTTTTCGTTCTCAATAAGACCTGAAATATTTTGGGCCAAGGTATGCATTGCTTCTAAAAGTATTTCGTCTTTACCAGACGAATCCGAAGAATCAGAATGCCAAATATTCATTTTTGAAGTGCATAAAAATAAGTGTAAAAAAAACAGAGAGTAAAATAAGAGTATAGAGTGTGGTGTGAAAAATATGAATAATCTTAGAGTTTAAACAAAGGAAGAAGGTGGAGGAGAGGAGGAGAGATTAAAATTTAGAGTTTAAATTTGAAAAAAAAATGGGGTGGTCAACAAAAAGATTACCGATGTGAGGTTTCACAAATGAGAAAAATTTAAAGGAAAAAGAAGGAGAAATGAACAAATGAAATATGGGGCATTGAACAAAAAAGATGAAAAATGAACGTGAGTGTGGTCACTTGACCAACTTTGGAGTAAAGCTCATGCATAGGAGGGATAGTAATTTACTTCCCTCACTCCATATCATCTATGGCCCCGTTTGGCATCAGCGTTAGAGATTAGCGTTAGCGTTTTGAAAAAGTCATCCGACGATAGCCTTTAGCATTTTCAGAATTAATCTGCACCATTAAAATTTTATCCAAAACACTAATGCTAATCGAAAAAGTTGTTACCAAACAAAGCCTATGCCACCCTAAAGTAAGATGAGATAGTACTGATATGGAAACCAATTGTGATTATAGAGCGTAATAAGCAAAAAGAAATGGAGCTGGCGGATTATTCTCCTGCTTTTGAACAAAACACATTTTAATATTTATTTTATGTAATCATATTTTTTTCTTTTTTTAAATTAAACTAATTTATGCTTATGATTTAAAAAATAAAGTATGTTTACAAAAATCGAAATTGAAATTAGGATTACTTGTAACGTATTTGTATGATTCTTTACGGTAACCTTATTTTTAGTTGTGCGATGGTGTATTTTCTACTTTTATTTTATTTCTTTTTCTCTTGATTGTGGTAAAAAAAAATAAAATGATAAAAAATAGTATTAAACAAATAATATAGGACAAACAATTGAACAAATTCTACATAAATAAAAATGGAAATATTAAAAAAAATATAAAATGAAACAAAGAAAAAAAATATAAAATCATAAAAAGAATAAATTTCTATTTTTATTTTAAAAAATAAAATTAAATTTGAATTACAATCATGTTACACTTATATTAAGAAATGTACCCTAAAGTTACAAGATATACACTAATATTTTGATAGTTTACATTGACACAAAACGTTAGTACGATAAAAAAAAATTATACGGACATTTCTACTTAAATTAAATTTCTGCATCCTAAAAATAAAGGTTAGACCCCTAAAGAATTCAGCTATCTGCCATGGAGGTAAATGGCGTCGTTCATCAAGATCTAACGGGGGATGGAAAACCTTTTACAGTCGCTGGGTTTTTGAAGAAAGTCCTGACAGTAGAATTGGGAGGCTATGACGATGATATCCGCGCTCCCAAACTGTTTGCCGTTGCTCTTCATGCCGTCTTTCTCGAATCCGGGTTTGTACCGTTTAATATGAAATCCAAGAAACTAGGGTTAGGTTTCGCTATCCAGAATGAAAATTGGCGGGGAAAATCCAGCGAATTCACGCTCTTCTACTCTGTTCCGGCTGTATTAAATCGGGTTTCATGGTTCGGAGATGCTGTTATTGAGCTCAAGTTTATCTTTTCCCAATCTGCTTTGAATGTTTCCGGGTCTCGAGTATTCTGGCCTCCAAAGCATTCTGTTTCCCTAAACCTTCCCGAGTTAGCGCCGTTCTTGAAAATTACCTGGTCCAATTTCAGATTTGATGATGAAATTATGGTTTCCACAGCTAGGGAAGTCTTGAGCTTTTGGAATGTCACCAAGGATAAACTTGTTTCGCCATTGTTAATTGACTTGTGCACGAAATCAGGTCTGTCCCATCCGGCTACTTTCCCGACGCTGCCCGATGCTCTCAAGGTGGAGATTTTAAGGTTACTGCCTCAAAAGGATGCTGCAAGAATGGGATGTGTATCTAAAGAATTCCGGTCCTTAATGTGCAACGATCCGTGTATGAAGAAGCATTTGATCAAGAATAGCCATAAAAGAATATCGAAGAAGTCCGATGGAATCACAAGCAGGAGAGCTTTTCTTCATCCCTGTGAGAAGAGTAATGCAATATCGAAGAAGTCAGATGGAATCACAAGCAGGAGAGCTTTTCTTCATCCCTACGAGAAGATTAATACATCTCAAAGGTATCCTCGTAATCTAAGAATTGATGGTATTGCACCAAAGATATATTTTAGGTGGCCATGACAAGTTTGTCTAAACAATTTGTCTCTATGTAAAATTCGTATTTCGATTCTTGTAAATGTATTTAGTTTTCTACATTCTTATTTTCATTCATTTGAAATTAGTCTACTTTGCATATTCAATAAATAATTTATGATGAATCGTCTAAATTATCTTGGATATAGGGTTTCAGCATTGTGGATTATGGACATGAACTAGTGACAACATATATGAGGAATACTTTACCCTTTACACCCAACCCCGGTGTCATAATGTGGTCTATTATATGCTTTTTTTAAACCTCAGTTGGGTTTTGCTCCCATTCTTTATAAAACTGTTGTTCCTTGTTGGATCCTTATTAATCACTAAGAATTAAGAAGATTCTTGACCTCTGTACAAAATGCAAAATCTGAAAGTGCTAAAAAAAATTCATGCTTGGATCAAAGTGATTATTTCTAGTTTTCTCATCATTACAAAGTGAATTGATCAAATATATTGCATCATATTGAAGAATGGTCCAGCAGCAGTTAACATTTGGTTTCCTTGTCTATATGGCTACCTGGTATGTACTTCTCTACAAATATACTACTCCGTATATGTTTTTTTGGCATTAAACATCAATATATGTTATGACATTACTGTATTTGAGAGTCTAACGGTGTTATGTTAGAACTCAAATTGGTTCTTACTTCTTACTCCCTAACTCTCGCACTCCAGGTGCCTCACCCTTGCCCCCCTCCAATATATTGAAATGCTTTCATTTTGGACGAGGGCCGGAAGTAGAGGGTCGAAATCAGTTTCGGCTCCAACAAAACACCGTAGGGTCTCGATGTGATAATATCAATGACACCATAGGGTCTCAAAGCATTCTTCTAAAAATAGATTCCCTCGGACTGAATATTCATGTTATAGATCATGTCATTCAACGAATTACATCTCCAATTTTCAAATTATGTTATATTGTATTTAAGTTATGAATAAGGACACAATTTAGTGAATGAGCATTGTGTTAGAGGTAGTAGATATGTACGACTAAAATATTTGGAACGAAATAAAGGTGTTTCTAGTGTATCTAACTCCATACACCGTATTGTTTTTCTTTTTTTCTTTTTGCTATTATTACTCCCAGGTTTGTTCCTTCCCCTTATCGCAATATAAACTGCACAACCGGTTGTACGGTGTTTTTCGTATATTCGAGACGAGCGCTCATTTACGAGCAACTAAATACTCATTTTCAAGCAACTGAATAATCATTTTCGAGCAACTGAAGACTTATTTTTCTAAAATTCAGTTATGCTCGAAAATGAGTATTCAGTTGCTTGAAAATGAGTGCTCAATGTACAAAAAATACCGTACATTCGGATGTATGGTATAAATACTCTCCCCTTATCACTCTTGCGGAAGATTAGTAATGGCTAGTAATCGTAGTATTCGATTACTCATGCCTTGGCTTCCACATTAGCAGCAGATGAGCGACTCTATAGAAATTATATTTCTTTTGTTTGGGTCTTATTTTGATTTTTTGGATTGAGAAATTGTATTTCGATTGAGAAATTGTATGTTTATTACTAGTATTACGGAGTATTATTTTTGTCTTGATTTTGACTAGGGGATTTATAGCTTATTACTGTGTAATTTTTTTCCAGATATGATATTTTTTGTAAGTTTCAAAATGTAAAAATTATTAAGAAAAGAAATATGTTGATAGAATATTCTTTTGAGTTTGAGTTTGGTGTAATGGGTGAGATGGAATAGTGTTTGATTTGACATTTATTACATTTTGAGTTTGAATTTAGTTTTGATGGTTGGAGATGGTCTTATAGTCTCTTATAGTATTCTGTATTATGTTAGTTTGAGTTTTTTGGTCACCCCTACCTTTTGTTAAACTGTATCCAAAATATTTCTTCTGCTTGATAACTTTTGTTTACATGAGTTTTTTTATTGGTAATTTGATAAAATAAAATATTCTTGTTACTACTTATTTTATAGAATTTTTTTAATGTAGCTTTTGAATAGTAGGTTATAATTTATATTTTATACCAATTTGTAAATAAAATCATTTTAAAATAAAGATGATTTTGCACATTTTTCAAAACAAGAAACTGTTTTTTTCGGACCAAGGGAATACTTATTTATCTTTTATATAACTATTAACTAATCAATTTTTTAACCAGTCCCTACATTCCATAATTGTCTTCCTTGTTTGACTTGACACCATTTTTGATAAATCAGAATATGTGTGGTTATTGGTTTTTTAATGCAAGAAAAATCAAATAGAGAACTATTAAAAGAAAATGAATGAGGACAATTTCAAAAAATACAAATAAATACTTGGTCCGTCCCTGAGTGTTTGTCCACTTTTGACTTTTGGAACTGTTCATCTAAGCACTTTGACTCATCAAATTCTCTCAATGTGTAAGCCTAAAAATAGTCATGTGTGATCTTGTTTGATTCGTCTTAACATATAGATTATTAATATATAATTTTTTAATATACAAATTACAAAATAAAATGGATTAAAGATGTGCATTGGATGGTGTGCAAAAATGAAAGTGGACAAACACTCAGGGATGGAGGGAGTATTTCTCCAAACATAGGACTAAACTTTGTGTTCCGTGAACAAGAACAAAATGTTTGTAGAAGATGGAGAGAAATTTGTACGAGAACACAATTTCTAGCTCTTATTGGTGAACTGCCCTAGTGAGTATGAAAGATTTGTACAAGAAATAATATTGCTCATAAATCTGATGTTCAAGAGCTAAAAGAAAAAATTAACGAAGATATTTAGATGGTTGACTACCTTGTCCTCTAGAACTTTTTCAGTGTCTCTGCATCATCAAATGCATCCCTTATAGCCTTTGAAGTATATTAACATTTAACAATAAGAATTAGGTATCTCTAATGGATCAATAGAAGAATCATATACTCTCTCCATCTATACATTTTCTTTCCACTTTCCTTATTTGTTTGTCCATAAATTTTTTTTCCATTTTTTTTAGAAAATGCTTTTTCTTTAGACGACATTACTACTATCACCTTTACTCATTAATTACAATCTATCCCTACACTTTTTTTCATTACCTAAGAACAAATACGGAAAGTATAAAGATTCGTTATTTTTTCTTAATTACCGTAAAAGGTCAACGAAAAGTTAATTTATAGACAGAGGGAGTGTATGTTTGGCACACATTTCATTAACAACTTTTTTAAGATAGTGTTAAACTCTATTTTTGTAGTTGAACTAATTGGCCATCCTCACAATAAATTTTGATTATTAGACTATTATAGTGGTACTAATTTATTTAAATGAACAAAGGAAAACACAATGAGATACGGAGTATTTTTCTATTGATGATGGTGGTATTTTTCTATTTTATTTTTCTTTTTTCTTTTTCCGAGTTTTGTTTTTGTGTGGAACTAAAAATTCTGAAACGCATAACATCAATAAGAGTATAAAACCAAGCTTAGTGATTCCAAATTGAGTTATATGCAGATATCAACTATAGTACAAAGTTAATACATGAAAGCACTACAGGAACATAAAAACAAGCATTCAAAATTAACAAAAGGGGTGTGGTTTTTTAAGAAATCACCCTAAATAGGAGTAAATATAGAAAAAGTACAAAAATAGAAGTTCCACATTTTTATTCATCAAATAGAAGTTCCCACTTTTGTAATGTGGGACATGTGCATTTTACAATATTTTTTGGTAATGTACAGGGTTATGATTGATAATGTAAATGCATTTTAACTCATATTTCGGAGGAAAACATGGAATATTTTCAATGTCTTGGGCTCTGTTCCGTACGTCTGATCTGGTTTAATCTGATCTGAATTTTTGAAGTTCTAATCTAATCTGATCTGATTGGATCTGATCTGATCTGATCTCATTGAGTTTGATCGGATCCGATTGAGTCTGATCTGATATGATTGGATCTGATCTGATTCGGTCTAATCTGATCTAATTGAATCTGACCTGGTCTGATTAGAACTGATCTAATCTGATTAGATCTGATTTTTTCTAATTCAATCTTATGTAAATGATTTTAAATTTGATTTAAATTAAACTTAAAATTATTACAAAATTTAATAGTTTTAAAGTATTACAATTTATTCATACATAAAAAAAAGTAAAATAAGAAAATAAGCTAATCATTCATATATTTAAACTTTTTTTGAAATATTAAACATCTTCTCAATATCACTACTTTTTGAATTTTTACAAATTTCTTGCTACAGTTTTTAAAGTTTTTTTAAAAATAAGTTATTGAAACTAAAAATATGAAACTAAAAGTAAATTTTAGAAAAAGCCATAAGAAAGTAAATGAAACTAAAAAATGAGTTATATGATTTAATTAAAATTTAAATAAATTTGACCGGATTAACATACTCATCTTAATATTTCATAAAATAAGATAGTCATTGTCATGCCACCTGTTTCGTAGAATTTGTTATGTAATTTGGTATTATTGTATATATTTTATTTTTAATAGTGACATTAATTAATTTTGGCAATTTTATTAATTAGTGCATATCGTCACCTCGTTGGAACACATATATCGATCGTCTGTTTTAGATAATGTAATTAATTAGATTATACAAATAGTTGAATAAACCTTATAAAAAAGGAATAACCTAGCTAGATGTGTGGAGTTCATGTTTGTTCAACAACATTAAATATCATATAAAATATTAAACACTAATATTCCTTTACCTCTATCAATTTTGTCATAAACTCACCCTTGTATATATTATACCATCTTAATGTTTAAAAATAAGTCTTTTTAAGTATAACATATTTATGGTTTTGAAAACTAAGTTTTGTATAACTATTTTATAAACAAGTATTTTAAAATGATTCTTTTTAAAGTATGAAAAATACAACTTTTTAAGCTTTAACATTACTTCCATGCATCATTCCTACAAGCTGAGCAATTATTAAAAATAATGGTTTGTAGTTGCAACATAATAATAATAATAATAATAATAATAATAATAACATAACAATAATAATAATAATTAAAATTATAATATCAATTAAGATTTAGGCGTATGTAGTTTTAAATAAAGTAATGTGATTTAATCAAATAATAGTAATTATCATTTAATCCTTGAAATATATAAATATTTTTTTATATTTTTTCCTTATTTGATATTCTTGAATTTGATTTAGTCTGATCTGATTGCATCTGGTCTGATATGATTGGATCTGATCTGATTGGATCTGGCATTATCTGATTGGATCTTATCTGATCTGATTGAATCTGATCTAATCTGATTGGATCTGATCTGATTCAGTCTGATCTGGTCTGGTCTGATTTTAATAAGAATAAGTAATAAGTAGAAAACATAAGTCCTACGGAACGGACCCTTACTTCTATTTGTCTTTTTCTCTAGTTTTTTTAAAATAAAACATCAAGTTTGGATAAAAGAAAATTCAAATTGAACACTAATGAATCAAAATCAGATTGCAAAGATTTAGACATATGCTTCTAAACTCATATTTTAGCAACAGTTCATATTTTAGGCATAAAAGCACTTAAAGAACAAAAAATAACATGCAAATCAACAAAAAAAATGCAGACTTTTTAACAATCACCATAGATCAAAACTAAGGCTGTAACGCTCCAAAATATACCCTAGAATTATTAATGAATTATTATTCAAATTAATCAAATTTGTTTTGATTAAAATAAATTATTATTGGGCTTTGGGCCGAAATAAAATATGTATTGACATCCAATAAACGTATTTAGGATAAATCTCATAGAGATAAATCCAACATGTTGACTTATTGTGTAATCTTGATTGGTAACCTAAGTACAGATCCAAATTAAGAATAAATGGAGAATTTGTTTATTAAGTGAACTTTGAAATGAATTCTTGAAATAAATCATGGGAATAAATAATATGAATGAAATATAAGAACCTTTCTGAGTAAAGGTCAACAAAATCAATTTTGACTATGTCAAAGTCAACCACCTAAAAATATGATGTCGGAAAAAGTACAACGAATAAATATAAAAATTATACCGTTAGATAGAGTTTAACTGTATGATCGCAACGGTGC